GCAGTCGGGTTGGAGGGAGAAGAGTCTGGGGAGGAGCCTGAAGATGTGGGTGCTAATCCTGGCCTCCCCGCTTCTGACCTGAGTAAACTTGGACGAGTCACTGAATCCTCTGGGCCTCCCTCATCTGTGGAAGCCTCGTCTACAGTTGCCAGAGACAGCCCAAGCCTCAAGAGACTCCAACCGTGGCTAAGACATGTGAGAGGGCTTTGCAAACTATGTTAGCTATTTGTAAGGTGTGGATTTCCTGTTATTGTTCTTTTAAACCACGCCTCAAAACCTATTATTTTGCCCACCTGGATAAGATCTATACATCATGATTTCTTATATGGCATTAAAGTAGCGAGGTCTAGGGCCGGCTCTGTGGCTTAGCGGTTAAATGCGCGCGCTCCGCTACTGGCGGCCCGGGTTCGGATCCCGGGCTCAGATCCTGGGCGCGCACTGAGGCACCGCTTCTCCGGCCATGCTAAGGCCGCATCCCACATACAGCAACTAGAAGGATGTGCAACTATGACATACAACTATCCACTGGGGCTTTGGGGGAAAAAAGGAGGAGGATTGGCAATAGAGGTTACCTCAGAGCCGGTCTTCCTCAGCAAAAAGAGGAGGATTAGCATGGATGTTAGCTAAGGGTTGATCTTCCTCACAAAAAAATAAATAAATAAAAAATAAAGTAATGAGGTCAAGGAGGATCATTTGAATGACCCACTACTGCAGGGGTAGTGAGTTTGAATGAGGGGGGAAGGCAACCAACCCAAGATGAGTCTAGAGAGAGAATCTGTGGGTGTCGGCAGCAGCAGAATTAAGCCTCAGAAACAAAGCGACCCTTTTGTTTGAGAGGGACCCTGAGGTGTCATCACAGTTATGGATTTCAGTGGCAGTGGGGACACAGACAGTATCATGGGCAGGGGTGTGGCGTAAAGGAAAACACAGTATGATGAGCAAGTAATCAGAGTGTGAGAGACAGCAAATGGATCACGTTAGCCTGAGGAGAAAGGCTGCGTCACAGAGAAGGGATCTTGCTGGAGGATTGAACAGTTCGCCCAAGGCTTTTTGATGCGCCACATCTTGAGCCGGAAAATGACACCATGAAAACTGGATTAGGAGTCGTGCCGGCAGTTTTAAGGTTCTCTAGTCACAGTGGGGATGTATACATGCCTGTGATGGTGGGAGGCACTGCAACTTGATTTTCCTTCCATGTTATTTTCTCAAAAAAGAGCCTAAAAAATATTCATGTAGGACTGCCTTGGCCCTGGGATGGCAAATAACTTCTACTTATATGTGGATTCAGACGAATTAGTAGCAGTTGCCTGGAGCATTGCAATGAGGGTCTCTAGAGCAGATTTGGGGCTTGGTGGGCAGGGACACTGGGTGGTGTCTTACCTGTGGTGGCAAGTGTGCCCATTATTTTGCTGACTTTGTGAAGACTCCAGAGCCCTGATGAGGAGCCTCATACTGTGGGGTACAGCTTTCTTCTGCTCTGTCCTCCCATCACTTGCTCCCTTGAATGTTCTGCTGCTGTCAAGTTCCAGTGCATCCCCTCCCACCACTTCCAGCTCACCTTCCTCGAAGCCCAGCACCAACCCCTCTACCAGGGCAGCCTTCTCTTCTCTGCCTCTCAAGCCGGCACCAAAACCATGGAGCAGCTGTTGGGAGGCAGAGGTTTCCGGGTGTTGCTGCATTTTATCTTGTGTGAAAGGGGCTGTGTTTCACTTGAGAGAGAAGTGGACCTTATAGGACCCCGAGGGCACCTCTCAGGCTTAGAGAACTTGCCCAAGAAGGATCTGCTGTCCCGGCTCAGTGAAACATGACCTTGCTGGGTCAGGCTCAGAACTGGTTGCTCTGGGCTCCTCGGTATAACTGTTAATTCTAGAGAAGGAGGTTGCCTTTTTGTTTTACTTGCTGCTTCTTCATAGATGGAGGTGTGAGGGGAACACCGAAGACTTAACTGAGCCTTGACTCAGCTGTAGCCAGTTGCTTTAGTGTGTGGAAGTGAGATATGAGTGTTTCAGGTCAGTTGGTCTCTACTGAACATGGGCCAGGCATGGCCAGTGCCTCTCGTGGACATGTAATGCAGTCCTGGATCTTAAGGAACTCTGTCTATATGGGAGAAAGGGTATGTTCATAGGAAATGGTTAAGTCATGTAAGGCAAGATGCATTTGCGTCATACTGAGTGAGACTTCCAGTGTGTAGGATGTTCTGTGAGGTGGGCCTAGCTGAAAGAAGGAAAGGAAAGATCAAGGAGGCAGGTGACAGTGATAGAAGAAGTGGATGTGGGGAGGTAGGAAGAGGAGAGCAGTTCACAGGAAGAGAGAGCTAGCCAAGCCAGGGTCCTTGTGCTAAATCATACCCTGGCCCAGGGTGTACACCTTCAGGAGAAGGGTTTTGAAAGGCCTGAAGGTTTGCAAAGGGATTGCTTTTGATCATTTCTTTCAGAAGCCTAACAATGGCTTACACTTACATGCAAATAAAGTCTGAGAGGACACTGAGTGCTATCATTAATAGTTCGGTGACAGATTGGAATGTAGTCCGTAGACAACTGAAAATATAATTATGACCAGTACTAGGTCCTAATCAGAATTATAAACTAATTTGAGAGATGATGTGGTTTTAAAGTATAAGAAAGGAGCCAGTGCTGGTAGCCCTTCCTCCCATGTCTTCCACAGACAGGAGAGAAGGGACAAGGGCAGACAAGAGCAGTATGTCTTTTATTTTCCATGTCCCTATCCCTGGGTGAATCCAAGAGGGTGGCTAAGGTTCCTACTTGCCATTTTTTTCCAAGAGGAGCAATTGCTCATACTTACCTATAAAACTCAGTTTGATGGACTCCTGAGCCCACTAGGAGACTGTGAAACATCATCCCCTACCCTGTCATACAGACCCTCATATACACCGGAAATGAGATGGTATCTGTAGACCATATGCCTTGGTCTCCTTCCCTTAGTAGATTCCCATTGCTCCACATGACTCCTAAATTGGCTAGTGTAATAAAGCAGGTGGTGGGCAAGGGAGCAGCCGAGAGGATACAACTTATCCTTTTCCTGTCTAACTCACACACAAGGGCTGATCAAATGCAGCACTGTCAATGTCTGGGTCAGTGATACCTGAACCCCTGAACACCAATTGCAGAGCCCTAACACAGGATTTCCGATTCAGGAGATCTGAGGGTGGGGCCTGAGAATTTGCATTTCTACAAAGTTCCCAGGTGATGCTGATGTTGCTGATTCAGAGACTACACTTTGAGAATCACTGAACTAGACTATTGGTTGTCAACCTTGTTAGCTGCATGTTAGAATCACTTGGAAAGATAAAAAAATGAAAACCCCGCCTCCAAAAAAAAAAAAAAAACCACAACCCAGACCATATCTCAGATCAATTTCAACAGAATCTACGTGGGTGGCACCAGACATCAATGTTTTTAAACATCCCCAAGTGATTCTATTGTGCAGCCAAGGTTGACAATCACTGATCTAGGCTCTTGAGACAGATGCCCATTAATGCAGATGCACTAGATAAAAGTCAGTAGAGCCAAACGTCTCCCACCCTTGGTTCTGAGGCAAGATACTTTTGTAGTCTGGGCATCTTTCCTTGGGAGAATGTAGCCGGCAATGATTGTGAGGGTAATTGACTCCTCTTGGATCATGGCTTGAGCAGAATGGAGAAAGCTGAAATAGCAATAGTGAAAAATGGTAGGCAAGCTGACTAGGGAAACAGAAAATGATTTCTGGGCAGCAGTGAAAGACTTCTGGGAAGTGGAGACCATACATTTATCTCGGGGTTCTTCTCCAAAACATATGATTTTTCCCACTCATTATCAGCAGCCTGGGCAGGGAAAATGGACATTTCAACTGATCCAGGGTTAACAGACTTCCCAGGCAGTTGCAGACAGTGGGGTAAAAGAGTTAAGGATATTGGTGTGAGAGTGGCTAAAGTGATGGACTCTAGAGTCTGGGGCCTAATCCCAACGATGAACTCAAGAGAGTCTTCTTTTCTGCTATGTTGTGTACTAGATATATACACAATATCCCTTTCCAAGGGTAGTCATTCCCTTCCCTATTCCACAGGAAACACAGAAGCACACCCCTCCAAGTGGGGCAGACGGTGACCCAGACTTGGCTAATCCTACCTCCCTTTCCCCTGAACACAATGATTGATCCAATGATACAATGATTGATCCAGAGCCAAACAGGGCCAATCACAGTCCTTCCCTGTAACTGATATTTGGGAGGGGTGGTATAGTTTGAGGCTACATTAGATAGGATGGAAGGCTTCTCCAACATAGTCACCTTTGAGCTGAGACCTGAATAACACGAAGCTCGTTGTGCAAAGCAAGGGCAGAGAGGAGAAATGGGCCAAGCTTGTTCAAGAGATAAGAAGGCTAGTGGAGAATGCTGTTCCCATTGCCTGAACCGCTCTCCCAGCCACTCTTAACCTGGGTAAATGCCCGCACAACCTTCAGGTTTCAGCCCAAACATCACTCTCTCCAGTAAGCCCTCCCAGACCTCACAGCAGGTCTCCCTTCGCCCCAGCAGATGACCAGCCTGTTCCTGAGATCTAGGGGAATGTGTTTACCAGACTCATGGAGCTCAGAGAAGGGAGTGACGGGATAAGGGATGCACGTTGGGGGCGTTAAGGAGGTCGTGCAATCCCTACCCCACGAGAAAATGAAGCCAATTCCCAACTTCTCAAGCCCAGATCAAAGCTTGGGGAGCGACAGCAGCGCGCAGAGTGGCCGGTGACAGGGCGGAAGTGCATCCCTGGAGCCGTTCTAGGAAACCTGGAGGACCCAGCTCGTCAGTGATCCTGGGGCTGCAGTGGGCATCGCCCCGTACACAGGGCCACTCCAGGGAGCTGATTGGGCAGGCAGGGGCGAGATGGCACTCGGGTTAGGGCGAGACCCGGCAAAAAGCAAGTCTGGGAAAGGTGAGGAGGCGTCAGCGTGCCGACCACCTGTTCCTCCGGCGGAGTGCGGCGCACGCTGATTGGCTGGAGTGCCGCCCGGGTACCGGAAGTGACCGATGCCCGTCGCCCGTGAAACCAAGACAACAGCTGCGGGTTCTGTGCGAGCTGGCGGAGCGGCGCCAGGAGCCCGAGCGGAGCGAGCGAGGGGCGGGAGCGGCCTGCGGTGAGACCTCGTTCCGTCACAGCGGGAGGGAGGAGGGCGCTGGGCTCCCGACTCCCCGGGCGCGCGCGCCCAGCGGAAACCCAACGTCTAGGCCGGTTCCTACCCGGGTTCTGTGTGACCTTGGACTTTACGGTCCCCCGGGCCTCCATTTCCCCACCTGCACACTGCGGGTGTGGGGCCTGGATAGGCAGTTCCGTGCCTGTCAGCCGCGGGGGCGGGAGAAGCGGGGACACCCCCTTCCTCCGTGGGGGCCAATGGGAGCTGTGTTTTTCTCAGACGTTCCATCCCCAAGTAAACCGCGGGGACGAAATGGCGGGCAGTGTCAAAAACTTAAGGCCCCCGTGGCGGACTGTGCCCCGTGCTGGCAGACAGGGTATTGGCTCCTGAGAGTTAGTTGTGGGAATGAGACAGGTTTCACCGCAGAGTTAATAGAGCCTTCTTGATCGTGGGAACCAGGGGGAGGACAGAGGAGAGGAGGAAAACAGTGCTTTAAGTTAAATATCATCCAGATCGGAAGAAGGAACTTATTTTTACAAAGAGTGACACCAGCTATGTGTCAGACACTTTTTTAGGCTCTTTAGATGCAAAAACGAATGAAATATCCAGTTAATCCTCAAGAGTGTCACAGATTCGTTATGTAGATAAGATATTTTCACAAATCCATTTAGCAAGTATTTACCAGGTACCCAAAATTGCTAGGCACTGGGAATACCAAGATGAATAGAACATCATCCTTGCTCACTGTCTAAAGAAGAAAGCAGACATGAAAATAGACTTAACAATACCTAACTGCTACAAGATCAAGGAGATCTATCTGTCTTAGGGGCAGGGGCAGAGAAGAAAATGGAGGGGACTGTCTATGCTTGAGCTGAGTCTTGTAGATGTTTGCTGAGTGCACAAGGTGGGCAGTAGTGTTCCAGGAAGTGGGAATAACCTGTTCTCAAAAGCAAAGAAACTTCAAAGAACAGGAAGTGTTTGAACTACAGGACCCTGAGCATGACTGAAGCTTCCAGCATCATTGGAGGGTGTGGGACAGGAGATGGGAAGGGGGACGGGGCCTGACCAGGAGGGCATTATGAGCCACGTTAAGAAGTTTTTAGTCTGTACTCCTTGGGGAGCAATGGAAGCGACATGATAACTATAGTACAAAGAAAACAGGTGAGGGAAATGCTGGCTCAGAGGACGAAGGGAGAAGTTTCTTCCTGCAGAGGTTAGTGAAGACTTTGGGGGAGGAGGTGGTCCTTGTACTAGATATTAAGCATTTGGTAGGTGCTGGCCATTCAGAAGTTAAGGGAAGGTATTTGTATCAGTTAAGGTGCTTTTGTCTGAAAGTAACAGAATCCAACCCAAGCTGGCTTTAAAATATGCAAGTGTATAAGCTCTCATAATTGGAAGTCAGGAAGTATAGCGGTTTCAGGATTGACTTAACCTAGTAGCCCTGGCTCCATTTCCTGTTGATTTTCTTAGCTCGACTTGCCTTCCTCCACAAGCTGGTAGTGAGATGGCAGCAGCAGATCCAGGCAACAATATATAGAAGTCTTTTCCTTTGATTCTCTCAGATGGCGAGAATCTATTCCTAGAAGCTTCCAGCAAACTTCCGCAAAATATCATTGACCCAGATGAAGGCATATGTCCATTCCTGAACCAATCCCTGCTGTTTTGAACAGTCACTTGCAAGTGGGGTGGTATTAGTTTGACTGGGTTAACTCAGTTGTGGCTTGCTCTTGGGTGAGGTCAGATCTCCTGCAAAGAGAGCAAGGCCGCAGCAAACTTTTTTGCTCAAATACCCCATAAAATAATTTGAAAAGCTTTGTGTCCCCTTTTACAATTGTAAGTTGACCTCCAAAATGTTTCATCATAGATTATAATAGTTGGAAAGGATATTATTGTTGGTGTATTATAATCTTGATGTTTCAAAATAAGACCTCATCTCAGTTTCCAAGATGCCTGTCCTTGGTTCTGTGTGCTCACCACATTCATCACCCTTTCTGTAAACTCCACCTGTTAGCATCCCACCTCCCTCCTCCCCCGACTTCATTTGCCTCCCGATCTCACTCAGCCACCTCAACTATGTCCTGGCTGACATCCTCAAGTCCCTCCCTCGGTCTTCCACCACACATATCCCCAGATTCCCAGCCTGCTCCGGGCCTGTCAGAAGCATTGCTGGAGAAAGGCAAGAAAGCATGCTGATTGGCTCCTCCTCACACTGATGCTCTCCAGCATACTTGTCTCATAAGGAAGTTGTGAAGGGTTAACAAGATAGTGTCTCTAAATTGCTTAGCACACAGCACATAGTAAGTGCTCTTCATTACTCTCCATATCACAGTGTCAGTGCATCCTTACTTCTCTTTTCTCTCTCCGTATTTACCCCAACTCTGCACATGCTACACTGAGGTCAGAATGTTCTCTCTGTTCCTTTTCTTACTCCTGTACTTCTTGGCCTCTGAGGCTTTGCTTGCCCATTCTCTGCCCAGAGTGCTGTAGTGCTGTAGTCTGAACTGAAGTACATGGAGGGGGTATACAAACACATTCTATAATGGCTGGGGCACATGGATGTTGAATGGAAATCAGTTTCTAGATCTTTGACTTCGGTTTGTATCCTTGCCTACCACTGATCTGCTTGAGAATGGGCCTGTGGCCTCTAGCTTTCTCTTTCCTCACCTCCTCTTTCACCAGTGCTCTTTTCCTCTTTTATAAAAAAAGACATACCCCTCACCCATACCCTCCTTACTTTTACTGGCGCATCACTCTGGGGTCGAAAATCCTCTGGAGTGCTGCACAAAGCGACAGTTTGTTGAGGAAGTCAGTGATTCTTGGACCTTTTGTAACTCAAGTCCCAGTCTTTGCTTTTAACAAAATATTTAAAAGACCTAATCAGACTGTCAGCTGATAGATTATTTAATAATTTTTTTTTTTTTTCCTACAAATCACAATATGATTTTTGGCAGATAAAGTTCAAAGAATTAAGTGATGTTGCTATCACAAGAGATTGCTGTAAACTCTGATTTAGGCATTTTAGGCAAACTCAGGTCCAGTAACTCAGGTCAGTCCGATAAACATAACGGAAATAGGATTTTTAACTCAGAAAAGGGGATCTAGTCAATTGTATTTTATCTGCCCAGTCTGCTCTCAGAAGTTTAGGGTAGGGGAGGGGCAGTCAAGATGGAGGGTGGGAAAAAAGAAGTCAGAGCAAGAACTGGCAATGTACCTGTAATCCTGCTGCTTCACACACGTGTTGGTCTACCTGGTAGCCCAGACCTTGGGTAGAGATGGATGCAGCAGATTGAGAGTGGGATAGCTCCCATCATTAAGACTGTCTCACACGCTGGTTTCCAAACCTGGCAGGGCATCAGAATCCCCTGGGGCACTTGTTAAAGATACAGATCCCTTAGCCGACCCCTGGAGATTCTGATTCTGGGAGGTCTAAGGTGACACCTAGAAATCAGTATTTTTAACAGATTTTCCCTGTTAATTCTTATGCATCTAGCCTAGTCAGGCCAAAAACCATTATTTAAGATTATTCATCAAAACAAACAAACAAACAAACAAAAAAAACCTCTCTGCTATGAGTGCAAGCCTATTAAACAGTTTTCAGGGTTTTATGTGGCTTCCCATGCAGATTTTCATCTAGATAGTATGGTCTTTTCAGAGTTTTATTTCTTATTGTTATTTAATAGGTGGGCATCTGGTTTGTGCATGAGTATTTTGTGAATGACGCTTTCTGAGCCTGCTCTCCTAGGATGCATGGAATGAAAACAAATGCAGGTCTGCAGAGTTGAAGACCTTATTTTGAACTATGGAGACTTAGTAGAGGTCTGCCTGTCATCCCCCAGACTGAGGACCAAGAGTGGTCAGCCTCCTCCCCAGGTGGCACCTCCATCTCATCTCTCTTCAGATACAGCTAATTTCAGATGTAGGAAAATGAAGATGTGAGAAACAGAAAGATAGGAAATTATGTTTGGAAATGTGAATTCAGGCTATGAGTTTCCATATGAGGGTGAAGTCTAATGTGTGGCTCTGCCCCTGGGAAAATCAACCAAATGGAGATTGCGTTTGATTTGTATGTGAGAAGGTACCTATAAAGCAGTATTTAACGAATGACATTAATATTGTGTCTCTGGCAGACTATAGAGTAAAAGAATGGTCAGAGAGGGTCAGATTTAGTTGGGGAAGACCTTCTGGATTTAAATTTTGAATCAGGTCTTGAAGTTGGGGATGGATACATACCTAACTTTTGTATCTTGTATCTTGTTTTACTGTGGACAAGTCATTTTCCATGTGGGGTGGTACAGAGATAGTTCTATGACTGCTGACTTTGTAAAGAGCTAGATGATGGGAAAGAAGTACCTACAGGAGAGATAAAGGTGAAAAGGAAAGACCAGAGAGGGGTTGGAAGTAGCTAGGGATTGAAATACCAGCTGTGAAACTTGTTCCTGGCTGAGGATTTGAGAGAAATATATTTAAGACAGTACTTCCCAACTCAAATGGTACCATGGATGAAGAAGGTAAAGATAGCTAAATTCTTTACAATGGATCTTTACAATTATATAGGTACATATTATCTATAATTTTCAAAAATTTCAACAGAAAAGAGAAATCCAGCTGTTGGCTGCCCATCCTTACTCCATGGGAAAATTAAAGAAGATGCCGATGGGGGAAAAGTTGAAGAAGATTCCAGGTCATTTTGAGGAATAGCATGAAGAGCTTCCAAGGCTTCAGGAGTCCAGTAGATCAGGTTCCTTCTGGGTGTCAGGGGAGGGGTCGTTACCAGGGCTGCCCTGATGAGAGACCAGAGAGGCCCCAGGGTAGGATGGTGGTTACTACCAGCATCCTTTGGATGACTGGAGGCTGGGCAGAGAACAAGAGTGGTACAAAGGTCACCCCCAAATCACCATTTTCCCCTTCCCTCACACTTGACCCCAGTCTCTTCTGCCTTTCAGGGTCTTCATTTCTTTAGTAATCTCATCTTTTCTTCACTCTTAACCCCTGTCTGTCTTCTGGCACCATCTCTTCTAATATAAGCATGTTCAAATCTCCCATCAGAGAAAATCCTTCTTTGATCCTGTCGCACTTTCACATTACTGTCCATCGTGCTCCTCTCCTTTAATCCAAATTTTTTGAAAGAAGCAGCACATTCATTCATCAGTCCACTGCCGCTTGGCTTCTGCTTCTACCATTCTGCTGAATCTGTTCTCACAGGCCACCTGTGACCACCCAGTTGTCTCAAAGGGTGTTTTCCAGTTCTTATCATACTGGATCTCTCAACGCATGTGACACTTTTTAATTCCCTCTGCCATTGCCCTGGTAACGTCTATGACACATATTCTGGTCCTTCTCCTATTGCACTAACCATTCTTTCTCTTATTGGCAGGCTTCTCTTCCTCCACCCACCTCTTTATTATTAGAGCCCAAACAGGAAACAGCCCACTCAAACTAGGATAATTTGAGGAGGGTTTATTTGCAAAGAAGTTAATTGTAAATGATATAGGTGTTGAGGAACCTGGGGCTGGCAGCAGTAGAGTGGTCACCAGCCTGGGCCTGAAGAGACAAGAGCTAGGAGAGGTACTGGAATCTGGACAGTGAGACAATTAGGTAGGATAGACTCCTTGAGAGGAGTGATGACCTTCAACTGAGGGACATCACCAGTCCAAGGTGACCTCACAGGAAGGAACCTGGAGAATAAATACCTTGGCCTTACTCTCCTTCCCACTTCAGCCTCCCACTGGGGCTCCCCATTGGTGGAGCACAACTGGAAGCCAGAGGGCCTGTTGATGTATGCTGGGTAGGTTAGCCTTCTGGGGCAGAGGGCAGGGTGGAGAAAGGTGGAAAGCTCTGGAGGGGAAAATGGAAGAGAACTGGAGTGCTCTTGCGTGTTAGCTTTGGCTTTCTAGGTTTCTGTCTTTGGTCTCTGACAGTTCTCACACTATACTTGTTACCATCTACGCTGAGTACTCTCACGTCTATCTCTAGTCCTGACTGCTTTAAGCTTTAGACCAATATATTTTGATTGACTAAAACAGAGCTCCATCTATCATCTTACCTCCTAAACTAGCTGCTTCTCCAGTACAGTAGTCCCCCCTTATCCACGGTTTTGCTTTCCATGGTTTCGGTTACCTGTGGTCAAACATGGTCTGAAAATATTAAGTGGAAAATTCCAGAAGTAAACAATTCATAAGTTTTAAATTGTGCGCCGTGCTGAAATCTCAGCGTGATGAAATCTCATGCTGTCCCACTCCGTCCCACCCAGAACGTGAATCATCCCTTTGTCCAGCGTATCCACACTGCATATGTTACCCACCCATTAGTCACTTAGTAGCTTTCTCAGTTATTAGATGGACTGTTGCTGCATCACAGTGCTTGTGTTCAAGTCACCCTTATTTTATTTAATAATGGCCCCAAAGCGCAAGAGTAGTGATGCTGGCAATTCAGATATGCCAAAGAGAAGCCATAAAGTACTTCCTTTAAGTGAAAAGGTGAAAGTTCTAAATTTAATAAGGAAAGAAAAAAAAATTGTATGCTGAGGTTGCTAAGATCTACAGTAACTTTTATTACAGTATATTGTTATAAATGTTCTATTTTATTATTAGTTATTGTTAACCTCTTACTGTGCTTAATTTATAAATTAAACTTTATCATAGATATGTAGGTAAAGGAAAAAACATATAGGGTTTGGTACTGTCCACGGTTTCAGGCATCCACTGGGAGGGTCTTGGGACGTATCCCCCATGGATAAGGGGGGACTACTGTATTCCCAACGTCGGTGGCACTGCTATGCATCCAGTTACCATTTCTCAAATAAAGGGAGAGCTGGGCAGCATCTTGGACTCCTCCCTCTCTCTTACACCTATATCCAGTCACAAACCAAGTCTTACAGAATTTGACCTCTTAAATATTTCTCCAGTCTGTCTCCTCTTCATTCCCACTGCTACTGTTGTCTTAGTTAGATCTCATCACCCCTTGCCTTGATGACTGCATCAGCCATCTAACTGATGTCCCTATGTCCAGGCCTATGGCTTTCTAGTTAAGTCATTAAATGGCCATTAATGTGCATCTACCTGAAATGCTAATCTGACCTTGGACTGTGTCACTCCTTGGCTTAAAAACCATTCCATGACTCTGCATTGTCTGAAAGATGAAGCCCCCTAGCTGCCCATTCCCCCTTGAGAATCACCTTCCACAATTAACACTTTTACTGATCGTAGGATTGTATTCCTCAGATTTGCGGTGATGCACAAATGCACTGCCCTAGGCACTTCAGTATTAGCTCTGGATTGCTTACTGCCTGAACAGAGGCCAGGCTCATTCTCCTGGCATTTGGACCTCATTTCTGTGACGGGGATGGCTAAATCCCCAGGGCCGTTGTACCAGTTAGGAATAGGTTTGGCTTCATAAATAAATAAAAAATAATGGCTTAAGCAAGGCAAAAGCTTATTTCTGTCTTAAATAAAGGAAGTCCAGAGGCAGGCATTCCAGGGCTGGTGTGGCAGCTCCATGGAGTCATCAGGGACCCAGGTTCCTTCCAGCTCTGGTCCCGTCGTAGGATATGCTGGTGTATTCATGGTCCAGGATGGTGCTCAAACTATGATGTAATGCCCCAGACACAGCATGGAAGAAGAGGGCGAAGAAATGCATTCCCTCATCCTTAAGGAGACTTCCCAGAAGTCTCATGTGCTTTCCTTCCATCTTACTGTCTCATTGGCCAGAATTTGGTTACATGGCCAAACCTAGCTGCAAAGAAAGCTGAGGAATGTATTTCTTTAGCTAGGCTCATTGCCACACTAAATAAATTCATTATTCTGTTGCCAATGAAGCAGGGAAGAATGGATATTGGGGTGACAGTTAAAATCTTTGCCACAGCCTTTTAGAAGTTTAAAAAATATAAGATGCTTTAAGATCTATAAAAGTATTGAGAAAATTCTATAAAGAGGCTGATTATAAAATTAGTATGTAAAAATCATCAGCATTGCTATATATATATATA